AGAATTCTGTCTATTCAAAAGACTAGAAGGGAATGATCCAAAATGTTATCAGTGGTCTTAACGGGTTTTATAACTGAGTCTTTGGCAAATTCTATGTCTTGAATCCAAATGAGAAAGTGATTTTAAAACTTTATCATTAGAAGATTAATGATAACACACATACACACCCAAGAAGTCATAGAAAGTCCACTTAATGACAGGGGAAAGTGCTTTGTTCCAATGTGCTTAGTGAAATCGCCAGACAAACTCTTGAGTAACTTCTGATTGGAATATATCCAGCCTCTGGTTCAGGCTCCAGCCAAATGGCTTCCAACACATAAGGCCTAGGTTTCTATCCAGAAAATGCAGAATTCCTTGGGAGACTCAGAATTGAGCCAGGCAGGGACACATGGATTAGTACCTAGTGTTCTTTCCAATTTTTTGTTTAGGCTTGCACTGAGACTTGCCCCCAGCCAACCACTTGATAGCATGGGAAAATGCTAGGGAAGTAATGGTGAGTCAACAAGAGTAGAACTGTGTAGGCCTGGTGGAACTGACTTTTTTTTTTCCCTAGAGTTGGGGCCTATGTTTCCCCGGCTGGCCTGGAATTCCTGGATCCAAGTGATCCTCCTGCTTCAGCCTCCCCTGTAGGTGGGGCTAGAGGTGCATGTCACCAGTCTTGGCGGAAATTGAATTCTTGAAAAAGATATTAAGTCTGATAAGGGTGGCAGATTTCAGCCTCAGTTTGGTTTCAGATGGAAACCAAAAGCAAAACTGCAGCCCAGTGAAAGGTTTTTCAAACTGGACCTAAGGCAAGGCCGCCATGTTTCCTGGCACCTTTTGTTTGTCAGTGGCGGAGTTTTTTCAGTCAGGATGGGCGGGAGAAGAGGGCTTGGGCAGCAGGATTTGTTGGCATATGGAACACTACTGCCATCGTGAGGAAATAATTTCAAATCACCCAGGGCAGCTATTTTTTTCATTCCTGTGAGGACTTTCGATTTAAGTAAACGGCCATTGAAGCGAGGGCCCTAGCAGCCTCTGGCTCAAATTGGTCCATCCTGGCTTCCTGGAGTTCTTCCAGGAGTTGTGGACAAAGGCTCAATGCCACAGGCTTCACAGAGGTTTTGTCCAGGTATAGTAGCTGGCTGCTGCAGAGGCAGGACTCAGGCACAGGAAGTTGTGGGGTGGGACTTTGATGCAGGCAGCCTCTCAGAGCCCAGTGCAGGGCTGTCACCAGTTGTTCCCTATTCCTGCCCCCCAGAGGTTAAGACAGGCCAGTTTATGTTGTCCTGAAGCCACAGATCTTGACTCCCTTATGTCACAGAGCATGAAACAGGCTAATTCAACGTGACATCTTAAAACAGACTCTGCTTGCTGGGGTTGTATAGACACCAAAAGTCTGGATCCCACTGCCTTGAGCAAGGATGGCAAATGGAGAAGCATTGGAAGCCACCCTGCCAAGCCAAGAAGGGCCAGATAGTGGAGAAGAAGCATGTATACAAGGGCCAAAACAATGCAGGGAAGACCAGAAGTAATTCTCTGAACCTGGAGATATGAAAGAGTGGTTTGTATCTGGCCATGGGTCAGAGCTCTGCTCTTGGTTTTCTCGGTGGAGTTGGAGAGGAAAGGAAGGGGGGGCTTATCTCTTAGGTTGTTCTGTTAGCGGATTCTGAGGTCCTCAAAACCTAGCTGTTCTCATACTTTCATTGTTTTTCTCTGTCACGACTTCATAAAGAGCTCAGATGAAAACGCCTAGTAGACCTGACAATATGGCCATCATTTGGGTGCTGAACACCCTCAGAACCATACTTGCCACCAAGTTGCAGAGGAGTGTCTAACATTTCTTAGGATTCACTGCATAATTGGGAACCATTTGGTACTACTCCTCTGTCAACATGTGACCTCTTACAGAGGCTGAGATGATTTTGTCTTCTGCTTGGATTTGTCTTATGCTTTGGACTTCCTGTGGGGGGGGGGAAATACTGTTTAGCATTGAAACCAATGGCAAATAGGTAAAGGAATTAAACAGGTAGTTTATAAAAGTGGAATTCTGGGAGGTGGCCCCAATAATGTATACACATGTAAATAAAGGTAAAAATGATAAAATAAAATAAATAAAAGTGGAATTCTACTTGTTTATTAAATAAATGAAAAGATACTTAAGTTTACTAGTATTTAGGAAGCTGCAATTGTCAACCTTGTTTTTCTATATGAATATGTATGCTATTTTAGAGTGTACTTAAAAAAAAAAAGTGGAGGAAAACCGGACACCTGTGGCTCATGCCTGTATTCCTAGGTACTCAGGAGGCAGAGATCAGAAGGACTGCAGTTCAGGGGGAGACTGGGTAGGGTTCAAGAGACCCTACCTTGAAAACTACTAAACATAAAAAAGGTTTAGTGGAGGTCCTCAAGTGGTAGAGCACCTGCCTAGCAAGCGTGAGGCCCTGAGTTCAAACCCCAGTGCTGTCAAAAAAAAAAAAAAAAAGGAAAGAAAGAAAACAAAAAGGCTTGAATTCTAAGGTCTCAGTGTGGTCTAGGCTGGAGTAAAGCTATGCACTAAACATACTAGGGTAAAACTCCAAAATTATTAAAAAGTCATCTTCTAAAGCCAGGCTTGGTGGAGCACGCCTACAATCCTAGCACTCAGGAGGTTGAGGCAGGAGGATCTAAATTTCAAGGTCATTTTGAGCTACATAGCAAGTTTGAAGCCAGCCTGGGCTACAGAGCAAGACTGTCTTAAAAAAATGCAAAAAAAAAAACAAAAACAAAAACCCAACCCCTGCCTCCAAAAAACAGTCACCTAACACTCCTAGGTGAAAAATTAAAAGTTATGTACAAAAGGAAAGGAATGAGACAGCATTCAGATTTCTCACTTGCAACTTGAGAAAATTAATTAAAATCAATGAACAGCATCTGTAGATTATTGAGAGGGAATCCGACATGGATGTCATTCATCAATTAGGGTGAACAGAAGTTCCTTGTGGACATGCAACATTCAGAACTTATGTTACCCACATAGCCTATATAACAATGATAGTTGAAAAAATATCTAGCCAAACAAATAATCTGGAAAAGAGAACTCAGTTAGATGATGAAGAAACAAAAAAGACCTTAAATTAAAACTTATAAGCATATACTCTCTGTAAGTGAGTAACATAAGTACTCTACAAATATTCATAACTGAAGGCACATACTGTAAGAGAAATTCCATAAGAATAGAACTAAAAATGTTAGACAATTTCAGCAAAATCTTTTGGGGTGAGAAAAATGCAAAAGGATAGAATGAAATACATATTTTAATAGACAAAACATTTTGGGTTACTGTTTAAGGAGAAATGAAGACCTTACAGTATTTTATTTCAATAAATATTGGACTGAAATATGTGCCTGTTTATGAGCATGAAGAAATGAAAGTTATTACAAATTAACAATGGCCAAAAAAGTATAGTCAATGATTTAAGCATCCCATCAATCACAAGAAATGAAAAAAGTAATAAATAAAGAAGGGAAGAGTAAAGTTGAGTGTTTCTTCATTGCATCAAATGCAAATGGACACAATTCTTCCCTCAATATGACAGAAGTCATATTGGGCTAACGTAGAAGAAAGAAAACAAAATGAAAAAGGCTCAATACTTCTTCCAACTAAGTAATTTCAAACCAAAAAATCATAAAACGTTTGAAAATGGAGCATGGTTTGGTGGGGCGCATCTGTAATCCCAGCTACTTGGGAGGTAGAGGCAAGACTGATCACAACTTTGAGCCCAGTATGGCCAACTTAGTGAGACCCTGTTGAAAAATAAAAATAAAAGAGAACTAGGGATGTGGCTTAGTAGAGCATTTGCTTAGCATGTGAATGAGGCCTTCAATCCCTCACGCCAGACACCACACACACACACATACACACACCCCCCAAAAGAAGAAAAAAAGAAAAAGTTTGAAAATTATGGTTTGTGCCATAATTTGACTTTGTGTCAGTATCAGACACAAAGAAAGCAGCAGTGTTAGTGTGAAAAATGCAATTTGTAACTACAAGCACTTAAACACAAAAAGAACATTTTGATTTTTTAATTTTTAAAAAAATAATTTTTAATATTAGCTACTCTGGAAGCAGAGATTAGGAGAACACAGTTTGAAGTCAGCCTGGGCAAATAGTTTGTGAGACCCTATCTGGAAAAAAAAAAATCACAAAAACGAAGGCTGGTGGAGTGGCTCAAGTTGTAGGCCCTGAGTTCAAGCCCCAGTACCGCAATAAAACCACAAAATTATATTTTATTGTTGTGCTGGGTGGGGGTACACTGGCATTTACAAAAGTTCTTACAACATATCAAATATATATGAATTCACCCCCTCCACTATTCTCCTTTATTCTCCCCTACCCCCATCCCTAGAATAGTTTCAATAGGTGTCGTTTTTCCAAGTACACAGTATTGGCACCATATTCACCCTTCTACACCCTTTCCTCCCTCCCCCTTCCTGCAGGCACCAACCCCCCCAGGCGGGACCTGTTCTGCCCTCCTGTTCTCCAATTAAAAAGGACATTTTGCAATGATAAAATTAGAGAAGCTTTGAATCAATGAATCAATTGGGAAAAAATTTATATCTTTATATTACATCTTCCTATATTTGATCATGGTACCTATATTTATTTGAGCTGTCTTTACTATTTTTCAGTAGTTTTATATGGTGTTTTAACTAAAAATCTTGTATATTTTATTCATGCTTAGTTTATAACTATTGGTGCTATTGTACATGATATCATCTTTAAAATTATGTTCTGTAATGTTTGCTAGCATATAGAACTGTTGATTTTATATATTGATCTGATACCTAAAGAGTTTGATACATTCTCTTATTATAAGTATATATGACATTTAAATTTTTTATAATCCTAATGTTTTAATTTTATTTGTGTTCTTTGTTGTCTTCAGAGCTTTCTTCAGTTTCTGAACTGCCTGCCTCACCTCTTAGGGTGTACTGTTGCTTTGCTAATAAAACACTCTTTACTATTTTCTTATTCTTAGTGGTTCTATTTTCACACCTGGGATAGCTGCCTAATCTTAGATATTGCACCCAAGAACTGATGGACATCTGGAACACCCCAACCACAGGTAATATTTTGGTGACATGACTCTAGCCTTCTCTGTTGGCTAGTCCTCCTGATCTCCTACCTTTCCACTTTCTTTCAAACCTATACCATGTCTCCCTCTTCAGATCCCAGGGTTGGACATAGTGTAACCCAGTAAATGGAGGACCCCTTAAAATCCTGAACAGTGACAAACTCCTTGAAGAAACTTAACCCACTCCTCTGTTCCCTATCTTTGGCCTGTTTAGTTCAGTTGTAACATGAATCTTAAGTGCAATTAGCAAGACTCCTACCCCTGATGTCTGCCCTTAGTGAATTTTCCATGCACTGATCACCCTCACTTGTCTATAAATTTCTAGCCGTCTTTGCTGTGCTCAGAGTTGAGCCCAATCTCTTTCTCCCTAATTGCAAGCCCCTAATTAACAATAGTCTTGAATGAAGTCTTCATTACGATTTAAGAAGTATCAGAATAATTTTGTAATTAACAATAGTAAGTCAAGTCTAGGCCTGATATCTGGAAATGACTGTTCCCTTTTAGGACTGGCTTCTTGAGCCTTGCCCTTAAAGCAACAACTTGATAACTTGGTGAGAACCAAGACTTGATGAAAATGATGGTTTTAGGCCTCAGTTTGGTTTCAGACAGAAAACAACAGCAAAAAGGTAGCATATAGAGCTTGTACAAAATGAAAAGCTGTCATGTTTCCCTGTCCTTCGAGTATGGGTGACGTTTTTTCAGACAAGAAGGGCGGGGGCAAAGAGCATGCCAGGAAATGGTTTTGAGTCTATATGCAGGACTACTGCCACCATCAGGAAGTAGGTTCAACAAATGCAGCGCCATTACAGCTTTCTTCCCATGAGGCTTAGCAGTCACAGAAGGTCGCCTTCCTGGAGTTTTAAGAGCCTTGAACTCAGTTGGACTTTCTTCTGTTCTACCTTAGGACTGTAAGAGAGACTGCATATTGGCAGGCACTCTCTCAGTGTAGAACCTAGAGAGTGAGGGGCCTGGAGTGGACCAGCTGCTGCCAGGAAATAACACAGGAAGTCAAGAGGCAAGCCTGAGTTCCTCTCAGTGTAGCGTCTTGGCTCTCTTAAGTCTTAGCTACAGGCAAATTAAAGGCGAATTCAGCAGTTTTTGGTTAGTTTTCTTGAGTCAAAGTCTGCACAAAATTTTGGAGCTAAGTCTACATTTGGATAACTGAAGAAATTCACACATCTAAGTGGGGATACCAAAGAGAGGATGGTCAGGAAGAATCCTCCATGTTGAGGAAGCAGCAACAGTGTAGTGTAGCTGAATATTCAGTTTTAAGAAAGTAAAATGGGCTAGGGACATGGTGCAGGTGGTAAGGTGCCCATCCAGTAATCAGTGCGGACCCGAGTTCAAATCCCAGTATCACCAAACAATCAAACAAACAAACAAACAAAAATACCTGGTAGGCTTCTTTGCTAGGCTGGGGATCAAATTCAGGATCTAACACATGCTGAGATTGTTACACCCCCCAAACCCTAGTGTAAAAGTGTGGCGGAGTTTTGATCTTTTCGAAAATCTCCCAAGAGAACAGGCCTATGAGACATCTTTATCACCACCAACTATGAAACAGATGGAGAAATATGCAGATTAGTGTAGCATGGCTTGGGATCCCGGACCACAGAGACTTCAATTTCCTCAGGAAAAGCTGAGACATTGAATTCCATGCCCTTCCCTCTTGTGATTTCATCTGGGATAGATTTTGCTCTTAGTAAATTGTATTTCATCAGAGTTGTAGCATGCATACCAAAGGCTGCAAAATTTCCTTTGGAACAAGCCTATCCATTATACTCTGAGAAAAACCAGGATGGTTCAAAAGCCACGTAGCACAGTGATACCACTTGAAAGCCTGCTAACTACAACTTCCAAGGGCAAGAACAGGACAGAAGTGCCCTCAAGAGCCTGCATTTGTCTTTGAGGGTATTCCTTTGGTCTTGTCCATACTGGGACAAACCCAGGGCCTGGCTCTTCCTGTTTCAGGGTTTCATGGTAGCTGTTAGTTGACTTCAGACCCCTCACTTTACATGTTAAACACCAAGATAGCTCAAGGTCTCTCAAAGGGCCTTAAAAGTCATGGAGATCCAGCTTGAAACTCAAGCCTCTTCCAGTTTCCTACAAGCCAGACTTACCCTGAACTGCTAGGGCTCATGGGAAGGAAATGGTAATGGCGCTGCTTTTGTTGAAACTTTTTCCTCACGGTGGCAGTGTAGCTCCAGAAATGCCCACAAGCACCATCTTTGCGTGCTCTTCTCCCACCCTTTAGGTCTGAAAAAACCAAAAACGAAGGTACCAGGAAACATGGCTGCATTTCATTCTGGTCAGCTTGAAAAAACAGACTGCATTTTTCTTAGTTTTCAGTCTAAAACTAGACAGGCCTAAGTCCGCTCTCTTCCATTAGGACTCTTTGTGTTTTCAGAAAGTAAATTTCCATTTGACCTTGCCATTCAAGTGCAATTTCCTTCACTCTGTGTTCCTTGTCCAATAGTTTGCCAGGACATCAAATTGGTTCTTTCAGACAATAAATTTGGTGAAGGCAGAGATAAGAGGTTGCTTAAAACCCAGAGGACATTGGTAGGAAAAAAAAAAAAAATCACAAATTAAGTGCTTTTTTTAAAAAATAAAATACAATTTAATTTTAATTTTTTTATTACTGCTAATTGAACCAGGGGCCTCCAGTAAACTAGGCAAGTACTCTACCAGTGAATTACATACCCAGAACTTTTTCTTTTTTAGTTTGAGACATGGCCTCCCTAAATTGCCCAGAATGACCTGGAACTCCCTATGTTGTTCTTACTAGCCTGAAACTAGCAGTCCTCCTGCCTCAGCATCCGAAGTAAGCTGGGAATGATAGGCCACTACCTTTTGTATTTGTTTCTGTTTTTGTTGTTTTTTGAGACAGGGTCTCACTTTGTTGCTCATCCTGGTCTGAACCAGGTTGCTTGCCAAGTATCAAGCAAACCTCAGCCTCTCAATTGCTGGGATTACAAGCATGTACTACCATGCAAGGTCAAAGTGGTCTTTGAGTTGCTTACCCTTCAAAACAAGCAGGAAGTCTTTCATTTCTAGCCTTATGTTAAATACTCTGGAACAGTTTGGCATGAACCATCATAGGAAGAACAGTGTAGTGATCTTTATTGCATGTCATGCATTCCCCACATGAAAGGACACTTCTGCTTACAGATGTATCCATTTCTATGAGATTTGAGTTTTGTCTCAGTTTTTGATCATTTGACATGAGAACACAGTGTTTTCCCAAGCCATGAAATATTCAACTATTTTCTAAGACTTTATGATGTGTGTGTGCTTATGCATTCACGTGTGTGTGTTATAGCTCCTACATACAAAGCTTAGTATATTCTCTCATGTATGTTCAATACATTAAAGATGGATGCTTCCTAAGGACTCAGAAAATAACCATGTGCTGATCACAAATGAAAGCACTACCAAAAAGTCCTTTCAAAGCAACTGACAGCCTTTTTGATTCCTTCCATGAATGTCTGTCAATGTATACATATCTTGTTCTAGATTTAGTCTCATACTAGGAAAAAATCTGTATGAAAATTGGCTGAATGTGTACTCATAGTTTGGATTAGAGCAGGTTTGATTTTAAAAGCTTGTAAGGGTTGGGTGTCTGGTGGCTCATGGCTGGACTCCTACCTACTTGTGAGGCATAGATCAGGAGGATCACAGTTCTAAGTAAGTCGGCCTAGGTAAAAACAGTTCGAGAGACCCTATCTCAAAAAAACCCAACACAAAAAAGAGCTGGCACAGTGGCTCCAGTTGATAGAGTGCCTTGCCTAGCAAGCATGAGGTCCTGAGTTCAAACCTCAGTACCACCCCCAAAAAAGTTTTGATGAACCTGAATTTACATGAATATCACCAATAGTAAGCCTTATTTGCTAGTAAGTTGAGGCTATAGTGTAAATAAAGGTAAAACTGGAAAATATATTCTCAAAAATTTGCTTGGGAAAAGTAGACAATTCTTTTGATTGAATTTTTAGAAATACATCTTGGTATGGTTTGATTGTGTGTGCCCCACAATTTCTGTGTTGGAAATTTAATCTCCATTTATATGTTAATGGTATTTGGAGAAGAGGCCTTCGGGAAGTAATTAGATTATGAGAACTTGGCCTTCCTGAGATTAATGTACTCATGGGTAAATAGTGTTTAGGCCATAGTGACTTTGTTTAAAAAAAAAAAAAAAAAGTTGTACTAACCAACAAAACAGCATTTGGGTTGTGAATTGTTTTGCTGGAGAAGGTGTCTTCTACAGTTCTGTCACATGTAGGACACAGTTCTATGCCATGGCAAACCACTGGACAAGGAACACAGAGTGAAGGAAATCACATTTAAGTGTACAAGAGTACTGATGGAGAAAGGTGGATTCAGGCCTCAGTTTGAGTTTCAGATTCAAAACTAGGAAAAGATGAAGCAGTGTGAGCCTTTTCTACCAAATTGGGCCAAAACGCAGGGCTAACACATTTCCTGGTATGGTTATCGCCATGTGGCGGTTTTTTTTAGACAGAAAGGGCGGGAGAAGAGCACTCAAGATGGCTCTTGTGGACGTTATCTGGAACTTTACTGCCATCGTGTGGAAATCGTTTCAGTATACAGTGCGCCATTGCAGTTTTCTTCCCATGAGCGCCAGCGGTTCAGGGTAGGTCTGGTTTGTAGGGAGTTAAGAGAGGCTTGGGCTCCAAGCTAGGCATCCTTGCTTTCTCCTAAAGCCCTCGGAGTGACTTGGACACTGGAGCTATCTTGATGTGATCCTGAAGAGTGAAGGGCCTAGAGTGGACCAGCAGCTGCCCGGAGACATGGACACAGGAAGTCATGGGACCATGCGGTGTGTGCCTTGCTTACTCTAACTTGTGGGCAAGACCAGGGGAACCAAAGAAAATCTCTTGGGGGCATCTGTTGCCTGTTACTGTCCATTTGAGCAAGAGTTAGAGGAAGTGATATTTTAGAAAATGTTACTGTACTATGACTATGGCCCATGGATCCCTCATTATTAGCAGTGGGAGGACTGCAAGGACAGACCAGTTCCAGGAGACTTACAGAAGAATCAAGTGTGTGTTGTAAAGTTCTCAGGTGCACCCAATCATCTGGAGGCTTGTAGGGCCTGAAAAGAAGGGCAACAAGGAGTTATGTCTTCTTTTATTGGAGCAGATGTGCATAAAGAGACAAAGTCCAAAAACCCTGCAAGCTCCCAAGTAGCTAGGATTACAGGCATGAGCCAAAACAGCCAAAACAATCTGAAATAACAAAACCAAGGTGGAGGTCTCTCACTTCCAGGTTTCAAAACTTACTACCAGCGTTATGGCAACTGAAGCAGTGTGCTACTCATAGAGGAAAAGACACAGAAGTCATTAGAATGGATTGACATCCAGACATAAATACGCCACGGTCAAGTGATTTTCAACAACATGATCATGGTCGTTCGATGGAGGAATCAATAGTCTCTTCAACAAAGTTTTTTTTTTTTTTTTGCATCAGAGGCAGCCAGAAGAATGGGAGAAAATATTTGTAAATCAATAACCCAGAATACTAAAGAACTCTTATTACTCAATAGAAAACAAAACAAAAAACCCCCACAACCACAACTTATAAAAACAGCAAGCCTGAATAGATGTCTTCCCAAGAAGTTATACAAATAGCCAATAAGTACATGAAAATATGGTTGTTAGTCTGCATAAAAATATAAATCAAACCTATGATATCACTTCACACACAACAGATTTTTTTTTTTTTAAATACTGTACTTGGGTATTCAGGGCTCTTGCTAGGAAACCTCTCTCAAACCCTTTTGGCTTGGCTTATTTATTATTTTGGTGGGACTGGGGTTTGAACTCAGGGCTTCATACCTGCAAAGCAAGCACTCTACTATGTGAGCCACATCTCCAGTCCATTTTACTCTGTTTTTTTGGAGATGAGGGGGATCTCACAAACTATTTGTCTGGGCTGGCCTCAGACCTTGATCCTCCTAATTTCACCATCCCATGTGTCTAGGATTACAGGTGTGAGCCAACAGTGCCTGGCTGCTTTAATTATTTTTCAGATAGGATCTCACTTTATTTTTGCCCAGGGTGACCTCAGACTTGGACTCACTTACCTGTGCCTCTCACTGGACTGGGAATACAGATGGGAATCACAACACTCAGCTTGTTTGTTGAATGAGGTGTTGGCCAGGTTGGCCTTGAACTGCCAACCTCTACTTCCTGAGTAGCACTCCTATTTGCACCCCCACTCTCTTTTAATGAAGGAAGTACAAGTACTGGACTGGGGTCATTGATAAGTGGTAGAGTACTTGTTTAGTAAGCACAAGGCGCTGAGTTCAAATCCCACCACTACCAACCAAAACAGAGAGGGAGGAAGAGAGAGAGAAAGGGAGGAAGGAAGGAAGGATGGACAGTACTGGAAAGGATATGAAGAAAATGAAACCCTCCTACAGTGCTAGTGGGGATGCAAAATTGGGCAGATGCTAAGGAAAGCAGTATGTTAGTGTTTTAAAAATGTAAACATACAGCCGAGTGCTGGTGGCTCAAGCCTGTAATCCTAGCTACTTGGGAGGATGAGATCAGGAAGATCGCAGTTTGAGGCCAGCCTGAGCAAACAGTTTGTGAGACCCCCATCTCCAGCTAGAGGAAAATGGACTAGAGGCATGGATCAAGCAGTAGAGTGCTTGCTTTGTTTTGAGTTCAAACCCCAGTCTCACCAAAAAAAAAAAAAAGTTAAATGAGAACTTACTATTTTTTCATGAATAAGCCAATCAAGAACATCTTTGCAAATGTGTTATTTTCCAAAATCCAGGTCTTGCAGTTTTTTATGGCAGTGCCAAAACTTCCCAGGAATCATAAGTGAAAATATCTGTTCTAAGATGCAATGTGTAACTGTATTCAATTTAAATGCAAATTTATCCTAGTGTTTCGCTGTCTGCACAGAACTCTGTGTCTATGTATTGAAGGAACTGGAGTAAATAAGTCAAAAGTTTTCGTGTTTAATACAAAACTTCATGACACACTGCTTGAATTAGTCACCAATAAGAAAATATGATGGATTCCTAGGTGAAAAATAGTAATACACATGGACAGTAAAACCATTGTAAATAGTCACAGGCCATTTAATGATTGTGGACAACGCTTGTGCTCCAACATTAAATGAACCATGAGACAAAATACTGTGACTTATCACAATGAATGTTTACTGTCCTTCCAATGTATGTCTCTCCAAGTAGGGCGGTTTTTTTTTGGTGGTACTAGGATTTGAACTCAGTGTCTCACCCTTGCTAGACAGGTGGTCTACCACTCGAGCCACTCACTAGCCCTAGCATTCAGTCTTGAGAGCTATCTGGACCCTGCTTTTAGGGCACCACTAAAGCCTGCCTCCCACTGGACATACAAGGCCTAGTGTCAAGGTCAGGGTATGGAGTAGGATGCTCAGGGAACTTGCTAAGTGACCCAGGATGAGAATCAAGTGTCCTGGTGCCTAGCTTGGCTCTGCTCCAAGCCCTAGGTGTACACATTTTCTTTTCCTTTCTAGACATGACCCTCAAGACCACAGGCTGATTGGACATCTTCAGGAAATACTGCAGACAGAGGCTGTGTGAGGAAGAGCAGAAATGAGAAGACTGGGTCACGTGGAGTTTGAGTTCTTGAAGAGAGAGGATCCCTGATGAGGGTGGGTTACTTAGATCTCCTTTTATATTTTTTTCGACCGTGAGATTTCACTTTGATATCAAATGGAAACCCAAAGCAAAATTCTCAGAGAGAAGCAAAAAAGGGCAAGGTAGGCAAATTTTCTAGTCTGTTTGTCTCATCCAGCGTTTTTTTTTTTCAAACAGGACGGGCAGAAGGAAAGCCCTTGAGGGCAAAGTTCCCTGACTCTTCTGGGCCAACACTGCCATCATGCGGGAATAGTTTCAGAAATGTCAAAGCCATGAGCGGTTCCCTCCATGCAAACTCTAGCAGCTGAGGAAGATAGGGCCTGTGGAATGTCAAATGGGCCCAGAACCAAGCTTGGCCTTCCATGTCCTCTGCAGTCAGGCAGTAGCAACGCGCCAATGCAGAATCTTGGTGTAGAGCATGGAGAACTAGGGATCCAGAATGAGTGCAGCGGCTTTGAGGCCTTAGGTAAGGGAAGTGGAGGGGCGGAGCTTTAGCACAGCCCTGGGTGGAGTCTTGAGTGCTTGCAAGCATCTGGGTAAAGGAAAAGGAGCTCAAGTCTTAGTTGAAGGCAGGGACACATTGGCAGCATGTTAGCTGCCAATGGCAGTTTGGTGTTGTGGTCGAAGGCTACCCAAACTCTTGGAGCCCAGTTCTCCTATGACTAGCTGGAGAGAATCCCACGTCTAAATGGGGGTACCTAAGGTAGAAGGTGCTCAGAAGAATCCCATGAGTCCAGAAGGCAGCAACACTGGAGTTGTAAGCTGATTTTTTCAGTCCTAGAAAAATGGTCCTGTTTACTTGTTTTCTTGATTGGTTGGAGTTTTGTTTTTTTTCTGGATGGGCATCAATGCAGGGCCTCCCCCATGCCAGCCAAAGACACTAACAATGATTATTAAACCCTCAGCCCTACAGAAAAGGCTGATGGAGTTTTAATTAATTCTGACAAGAGAACAGGCCTATGAGGCACCATTATCACCAACCAGCTATGAAACAGGTAGATAAGAACACGGATTAGTGTAATGTGATTTGTGGTCCCAGGTACTTAATGGAGAATTCCAGGGCATCCTGAACTACATAGCAAGACCCTGTCTCAAAAAAAAAAAAAAAAAAAAACAAAAAACACAGAAGGAAATTTGAGATATAAAAATTAAAAGTAAATACACAAATTTAAAAAATTTCCTATGGAAAGTTTTGACGAAGAATTTCATATCCTCCCCTTTTGTGAATTCATCTGAGATGATAAACCTTTTAGCAAATTTTGTTTCACCTGAGAGTAGTCAAAAGTATACAAAGGCTGCAAAGCTTCCTTTGGAATAGGCCTAATATACTCTGACAGAGCTATGGAGCACCCACGCGCCCAAGCTCCATAGCACACCTGCGAACTCCTCTTACTGACAAGAACAGGACACAACTCTTCCAGAGTCTGCATTCGCCTTTGAGTGTGTTCCTCTGGGCCTGTCCACACCGGAACTAACCCAGCCCAGCCCAATGACTTCCTGTGTCAGAGTCTCCTGACAGCAGCTTGTCCACTCTAGGCTCCTCACCTTCTCATCCTACACCGAGATAGCTCCACTGTCCAGGTCTTGCTTAGAGCCTTAGGAAAAGTCAAAGAGGACGAACTTGAAGCCCAAGTTCATCTAAGTCCTCTCAAACCAGACCTTTCTTCAACTGCAATGCTTCATGGGAAGGAAACTGTAATGGCGCACTCTGTATTAAAACTATTTCCGCATGATGGCAGCATTGCTGCAGATAGACATATTAGCGCCATCCTTCAGTGCTCTTCTCCCGCCCTTCCTGTGTGAAAAAAATGCCACCCAGGGACAAATGCACCAGGAATGATGGCTGCATTTCCTTTTGGCCAGTTGAGTCAAATAGGCTCAGACTGCTGTATTTTTTGCTCTTTTCCCATCTGAAACCAAACAGGCCTAAATCCACCCTCCTCCATCAGAACTATTGTCCTTTCAGGAAGTACGTTTCTGCTGGACTCTGACAGTTCAGGTTTCATATATTTCACTCAGTGTTGCTTTTTCAGTAGTTTGCCATGGGCATTAAGTGTAATAAATGTGGTGGATGAAGGCAAAGATAGGAGAACCTTGCTTCATACTTGGAGGACTTCTTGTCTAGAAAAAAATTCACAAATTCAAGTCTTTATTTTTAAATTTTATTTTATGGTTTTTACACTTACTTACATGTGTATACATTGTTGGGCTTTCTTCTCCCCGCACCCCCTTTCCAGGCAGAACCTGTTCTGCCCTCTTGTTCTCCAATTTTGTTGAAGAGAAGACAGAAGAGATAATAAGAAAGGCATAGCCTTTTTGCTAGTTTGAGATGAAGCTAGCTATACAGAGAGATCCTAGTATTGTTACTATCCATAAGTGTATAGCAACCCACATTGGTTCATCTCTACTAGCGCTCTTCACTATTTCCTAGTCCCCTTCCCATAGTGACCTCTGCCAGTTTAAGATTACCTTATTTGCTCCTCTACAGTGAGCACATCAACCACATTCAAGTTTTAGGTTTCCTTCCCTTTCCCTATTCCTCCCATGCACGGTCTCCCCATAGTGTGTGATCCATGTCCAGTAATATTTCTGCATTTTTTTAGGTCTATAATCCACATATGAGGGAGAACATGCAATTTTTTGCCTTTTGAGCCTGACTAACTTCGCTTAAGATGATGTTCTCCAGTTCCATCCATTTACTTGTGAATGACAAAATTTCATTCCTCTTTGTGGCTGAGTAAAATTCCATTGTGTATAAATACCACATTTTCTTAATCCATTCGTCAGTAGGGCGGCAGCTTGGCTGTTTCCATAACTTGGCTATTGTGAATAGTGCTGCAATAAACATGGGTGTGCAGGTGCCTCTGGAGTAACCTGAGTCAAATTCCTTTGGGTATATCCCCAAGAGTGGGATTGCTGGATCATATGGCAGATCTATGTTTAGTTTTTTAAGAAGCCTCCATATTGTTTTCCAGAGTGGTTGCACTAGCTTACATTGCCATCAGCAGTGTATGAGGGTTCCTTTTTCCCTGAATCCTTGCCAACATTTGTTGTGGTTAGGTAGAATCTTAGTGTGGTTTCGATTTGCATTTCCTTTATGGCCAGGGATGGTGAGCATTTTTTCATGTGTTTTTTGGCCATTTGGATTTCTTCCTTTGAAAAAGTTCTGTTTAATTCAGTTGCCCACATCTTTATTGGTTCATTGATTCTGGGAGAGTTTAGTTTTTTGAGCTCCCTGTATATTCTGGTTATCAGTCCTTTGTCTGATGTATAGCTACCAAAGATTTTCTCCCACTCCGTGGGTGGTCTGGTCAATTTAGAAACCATTTCTTTTGTTGTGCAGAAGCTTTTTAATTTCATGTAGTCCCATTTGTCAATCCTTTCTCTTAGTTGCTGGGCTGCTGGAGTTGAACTGAAGAAGTTCTTGCCTATAGCTATTGCTTCCGGTGTATTCCCTGCTCTTTCCTGCTGTAGTAACTGCAAGATTTTGGATCTCATATTAAGGTCCTCAATCCACCTTGAGTTGATACTACTACAGAGTGATAGGCATGGATCTGGTTTCAGTTTTCTGTAGGCAGATAACCACTTTTCCCAGCAATATTTGTTAAAGATGCTGTCTATTCTCCAGTGTATGTCTTTGGTGCCTTTGTCAATAATTAGGTGAGTGTAGCTGCATGGATTCATATCCGGGTCCTCTATTCTGTTTCACTGGTCTTCATATCTGTTTTTGTGCCAGTACCATGCTGTTTTTATTGCTATGGCTCCGTAGCATAGTTTGAAGTTGGGTATTGTGATAGCTTCAGCATTGCTTTTTTTGCTCAGTATTGCCTTGGTTATTTGTGGTTTTTTGTGTTTTCAAATGAACTTTAGGGTAGATTTTTCAATCTCTGTGATGAATGTCATTGGGATTTTGATGGAAATTGCATTGAACATGTATATAGCTTTTGGTAGTATAGCCATTTTTATTATGTTGATTCTGCTAGTCTATGAGCATGGGAGATCTTTCCATCTTCTGTAGTCTTCTTTGATCTCTTTGTTCAGTGATTTGTAGTTCTCCTTGTACAGGTCATTTACATCCTTTGTTAAGTTTATTCCTAGGTATTTGATTTTTTTTGAGACTATTGTAAATGGAATTGTTTTCCTATATTCTTTCTCAATCTGTTCATTGTTCATATACAGAAAGGATACTGATTTTTGTAAGTTGATTTTGTATTCTGCTACTTTGCTGAAGCTGTTTATAGTGTCTAGTTTTTTGGTGGAGTTTTTAGGGTCTTTAAAGGTATAAGATCATGTCATCTGCAAATAGGGATAATTTGACTACTTCTTTTTTTTGTGGTACTGCAACTTCAATTCTGGGCCTTTACCTTGAGACATTCCACCAGCCCAATTTGTTGTGATAGGGTCTTTTGAGATAGGGTCTCACGAACTGTTTGCCCAGGCTGGCTTTGAACTGTGATCCTCCTGATCTCTGCCTCCTGAGTAGCTAGGATTATAGGAGTGAGCTACTGGCACCCAGCCTGACTACTTCTTTACCTATTTGTATACCTTTTATTTCTTCTTCTTGTCTAATTGCTCTGGCCAGAAATTCCAGTGCTACGTTGAATAGGAGTGGGGATAGTGGGCACCCTTGTCTCGTTCCTGATTTTAGGGGAAATGGTTTCAGTTTTTCACCGTTAAGTATGATGTTGGCTGTAGGTTTGTCATATATAGCCCTTACAATGTTGAGGTACATTCCTTCTATTCCTAGTTTTCTTAGAGCTTTTATCATGAAATGGTGTTGGATCTTATCAAAGGCTTTTTCTGCATCTATTGAGATGATCAAGTGGTTTTTATCTTTGCTTCTATTAATGTTCTGTATTACATTTATAGATTTGCATATGTTGAACCACCCCTGCATCCCTGGGATGAAGCTGACTTGGTCGTGGTGAATGATCTTTCTGATATGTTGTTGAATTCGATTTGCCATTATCTTATTGAGTATTTTTGCATCAGTGTTCATTAAGGAGATTGGT